CACATAGAACCATAGTGTTCAATATCTGTAGATAACTGTTGCCAGTAGAATTGTTATTTGGACTATGGGAAAGCATATAAAGGCTATCTACCTAAGGGAAGACAGAACTTTTTAAGTAAACTGGTTAGTATTCATGTTTTCATAGAGATTTGTCTGGCTTAGTTATTGTGTATACTCCAATTTCTAAGGTTTTATGTTAATTAACCATGATTTGAATATTTTTATCTTTACTGTCACTTCTACTTTCATTGTCAGCTGAATACAAATTAGTTAATGTACATAAGAACAGAGTTCTTGAAGTTAAGAGAGAGCTTTTAGCAGCGATTGCTGACCTTCTGTATATTATTTACCTGGATCAGATTTAGACTTCGGCTAGCCATGTTTGCTTGCACAATTAGTTTGCAGTTTTACTTTGTTGTGCGAATAGCATAATTTAATTACTTAAGTTTTATGTTGACTTTCATATTGTATTAAATTCTAGAAAATGCAGTGACTTTGTTCTGTTATTTACATGTACTGTGCAAGTTGCTAAATTGAAGCTGTAATAAAAATATTAATTTTTAACCTTCTGAGTTTGTAGTTCTTTCTCTGAAAGACTAAGACAGAGCGATAAGTTACCTGACTCTCTACACAGAACTGTAATTTAGCTTTGAATTATACAGATTCCATATGAACTCATTTGTGACTGCCATCTCCTTTATCTACAGCTAGCCAAGAGGATTAAAACAGAATTGTTACTCAGACAGGAGAATGAAATTTCAGTTGTGTTTTAAGAAAACTCCAGTCTATCTGCATAGTGTTTGTTCACTGGCTGTGCTAAAAGTAAATTAATAATGGTACCATCTTTTGAAACAAAACTTTGCCAATTACATATGACTTACATGTACATATATTTATATATAATCCCCTAAGTGTTATTATTTTGACTAATAGGAGTTGTTTTTCTCAATAATTCATTTGCAAAAGAAATTAAATGCCTGCAATGCATTTCATCTAAGTAAATAATAAAATCAGAAATGACATTTGTTGATTTTTTAATCCAATGCATGAACTTTTAACACTAGATTTTTCTCCACCATTAATTGTGATAAAATTATGTCATTAATGATAGCTTTATTGTTTTAGAAATTCTTATAAATTGGTAAGAAAGTATAAATAATTCTGGAATGGAAGTTATTGTTCACAATATGGCAGTGTGAGGCTAGTTATATCTATCCTATTAAATAATATATAATTGCCAAACAATCACCTCAGTAATATTACAATGCTTGCTAAATTCTGAAAGATAAAAATAAAATTGTTGATTGAAAGATAAAAATAAAATTGTTTTAGAAGTCAACAGACTTGATGAAAAACTTTTAATATAGGCATATGTAATACAAATTAAATATAACATTTTATTAGAATTCAAGACATTTAGCATATTTAAGCAAAACATTAACAGAAAAAGTACTAATGAAAAATCATTTCTTGTTTTAAGTGGGCAATTTAAGTCAAATGAAGAAACATTTCTGCTGAATTTTTGTTTATTATCGCACAGTTTTTTGCCTTCAAGTGCTTGGTGATATCATAATTCTAGATGTTACTGCAAACTTGCTTTGCCTTTCTGAAGGATTGGTGCCGCGAAAACTGGCTCTATGCCAGCTGCCCGTAACGTATTCAAGGGGTTACTGGAAACTTGCTTTGCCTTTCTGAAAGAAATCTGATTGGCACTGTTGGCTCCACGCTCTAATGTTGCTCACGCGATACACAATTCGCCAAAAAAGTGACCGCTTCCAACATTGGCACGAAAATCTCTTTTTTTGGGGCGGGATCGCAGTATGAAATTCCCAGACTTTTCTAGATTTTGACTAAAATATTTAAATTCCCAGACTTTTCTGAACTATTTTTGATTTCCTGTTTTTTTAGGTAGCCTGGCAATCCCGTTAAAATCTGTTACATGAGGAAAAGAACAGTCAGGGTTTGTCTGTAAAATAATGAGACCAGCTGCCGGGTGCTCCATTTGCGAGCAGTGCAGCAGTTGCATCCAAGCTCTGATGCATTGAGGATCATGCGAGCTGCAAAAGCTGTTTTCGAGCTTTTGTCACAGCAAAAAAGCGTTCATTGGAGCAGTGCTACATGATTAAATTTTGCTTTCACTTGGTCAAAACCATTTCTGAGGTGCTTGCCTTGTTAAGGAGGTTTACAAAGTCACTGCTTACTGTCAAGGGTGCAGGTTTTATGATGATTCATTGAATTCAAGAACGGACAGGAGACATTGAAGACATGGCGTGATCTGCATGCCCTTCAGTGAGTGGTTTGGATGAAAACGTGGACAAAGTACGAAATCTGCTGGACTCCGACTGTCATTAGAGTGTAAGACTGGTCGCAGAAGACCTCAACATGTGCAAAACAACAGTTCACAAAATTATTTATAAAAATATGAACATGTAGAAGGTTTATGTGAAATTGGCACCAAAAGTCTTGAGTGGTGAACAAAAACAATGACGAATTGATATTTTCTGTGAGATGTTGGGGCTGTTAGAAAGTGACTTGGATTCACTTGTTAGACAACATAACAGACAATGAATCATGGATCTTCCCGTACGACCCTGAAACCAAGCACCAAAGTTTGGAGTGGCACACCTCGAATTCCCCATGTCCAAAGGAAGTGAGAATGTCGAATGAAAAGCATGGAGTGGTCCACAAAGAATTTGTACCTCTGAGACAAACCGTCAGTGCCGTTTTCTATGAAAAAATCCTCCCGTGTCTCCACAGAGCCATCAAAATGGAAATGACTGAAAATTGCCTATTACTGGAAGCTCCAGATGGCAATACTTCAGCCCACACATCCTTAATTGTGACTGCCAATCTGGCCTGGATAGGGGTTGCATCCTTGCCACAGACCCTGATGTGAGCCTGGTAGATGGCCTGTAACAGTCTTAAACAGTTTACAGCTGACTTTACAGTGAGCCTTTGCAGCATGGGAATTGCGTCGGCAGTAGTGTATTGATGTCCAAGGAAAAGAATTTTAACAATATGTACCAATCAGACCCAGTCTTGTTACTTTTTGGATAAACTCTGTTAATTGGAATAGTCACTTGTGGGAAGTTCATACTTGTAGAGCTTCCAGTATAATCAGGACTTAATGGTACATATCGATGAAAGCCTTTTTACAAAATAAGTTGAATACTTTCACAGCTGTGGCTATTTGGTGGATGTCAGTATTGCAGGAAGTTAAATATTATTTCTGTTATAATTGTAAACACATTTGCTAAATTATTGTAATCTATTAATGAAACGCGTGTTTTAGCTTGGTTACAGTTTCCTTTAATTATGGACATTAGTTTGCTATTTTGACTATTTCTTATTTAAGATGTTTCTTGGATTTTTTGAAAGAAATATTTATTCTTTAATGTATTGCTGGTCTGTAATAGCATCAAATATAATTTAATAATGTATATATATAAGTTTCTCATCATGACAGTTTCTTACAATCACTTAAAAAATTTCTATTAACTCAATAATTCTATATTTGTCAAGCGTATATCTATCATGTACCTCTCCATGGTTAGCCAATCAACAATCCCCTCATTGCCAGCAAGCATGAGAGACGATGTCAGCTGAAGTTGTGATTTGTCTGCAGCAATTCTGAGTGTTCACACCTGAGTTTGTTTTTTAGCTTGTGTCAGGGTTGCCACTCAAACAGGAGAATGAAATTCCCTGACTTTTCCAGGTGTGTTCGAAGAAAATTCCAGTCTATCCGCGTAATGTATGTTGGCTGTGCTAAGAGGTAAATTAATTATGGTATTACTTGTATTGTGTAGCAAATTCACTTAATTATTCAATAAATCCCACAGGACATTTATTCTTAATTATTCTTGGTATATTTTGTTTACTTAATTTGTCCACTTAAGAAACTTAATAAAATTTAAGATATATACATTGGATAACAACTGTATGTTTTATTTAATTATTACTCATGATCATTGCCAGTTCAACACCAGGCTAATCCGGTCTTTATAAATCACAACGCAATGCTAAATAGTTAGGTTAGATTTTAGGTAAATTTAATTTGTGTGAGGTGTCTTCTTAAAAGGCACCTTAACACTTGAAAACACAAATATAATTATAATAGGAGTTGTTTTCTCCACTGAAGATTGAGATTAAAATCTGCCCAATCTGGAATAAAATAAGGTTTTTTTTTTTGCAGACATTCTGCAGCTAAACGAAAGAAAAATCTATTTAATGATATTTATTTCACAGCATACATAAGGAAAAAATATGTGCATTAAATTTCGTGATGGTATGTCATCATACTGCTAGAATTAATTTCAGGATTATGCCAGAGAACATTTCCTGAAATTTGGAAATATTATTTACTAATAATAAATAAATTTAGAGGTAAGAAGCAACATTAAATGATACGAATAACATAAAAATAAAAATAATTACTTAAAAATTGAATTAGAATAATAAACGATATTTTAGCGAATATAGTTATATTACATGGTTAGCCTCTGATGCAGAGAGGTTTTCCTTCTTTACAATACATATTCTTCGATTCTAATCTCCATGGTATCGTAAAATAAGATTAAACCCATTTTGTTTTATACGAGAATAGGTACTTTCTTTAGTTCATGCACTGCACATGCGATTCTCCCAATTCTCGAGGTTACTGGAATGCAAAAGTTGCGGGAAACTTGCTTTGCCTTTCTGAAAGACAATCAAATAGGAGCTGCGAAAATTGGCTCTATGCCAGCTGCCCGAACGACACTCACGTGATACACAATTCGCCAAAAAAGTTATCTCTTCCGACGTCGGCGCAAAACTTGCTTTTTTTGGCAGAATCATTGTATGAAATTCCCTGACTTTTCCCTGAATTTTTTGGTCAATTTTTGAATTCCCTGACTTTTTCCGGTTTTCCAGATAGCGTGGCAACTCTGTTGTGTAGCTGGTTTATTGGGTGTTAATGTTAAGCCCTAAATGGAATATTTCAATTTACATACCCTTCAAAATTATTTCATCAATATGTACACAATCCTAACAGGCTGGTTGCATGGCTTCACAAAAGCATCTTTTCTCTAAAGTGCTTTATTGTAATCAATTAAACAATATATACACAGTTACGGAATTAAGCACATGATTTTCACAATTTCATAATCTGCCTCAAATAGCTGAAATGGATGATAAACAGGAGGAGGAATATGATTTTTCAAGAAATGCAGTAACTTAGTATACATCATGGAATCTGGTGATTCTGGTTTGCAGGTGCTCAAGTGATCCACTGGCAATGTATAAAATTTACCAAATCCAGGATCTAAAATAAGACATATATAGAAATCATACACTTAATAGCAGTTTTTGCACATTTAATACTGTCTAAACCAAATATTTTCAAAATTTATATTAGACTATAGAATAATTTGCATCCAGTACTTATATTTGATCCTGAACATTTCATTAATTTATCATAAATGCAACATTTCAAGTACTCATCTGTTTCCAAACTGTGTCCTACTTTGAAATTTTTTTATAAAACTTAAAATATATTTTTATTACACTGCAAATTCTTTGTTAATAACACATCTGAAAATGATATTTCTGTGTTAAGCTTGTATCTTGTATATTAGCTTGCTGGCCATCATTACAAGATTCATAAAAACAGAATTTAAGTGAAATCATGAATTGACAAAGAAATAATGTTTACTATATAATGTCTCAGAGAGCTTTAATACTGATGCAATGTTTCCCACAAGTATTCAGCTTAAATGCCGGATATGCTATTTATGGATCCTGTGGTCAGAGGGTTACTGCTAATTTGGGATGATAAAAGATGAAATTTGAGTGGACGGGAAAGGAATGGTCAATGTTCTTACTCACAAGCCATAATTTATTGTAGGTGTATAAATTTTGTAAGAGTGATATTGTTTCTTCTGTATATATATATTATAACTGTAGAAAGTGTCTACACTGACTGGGACAGATAGTGTGAAACACAAAAAAAGGTGGGAACTATGTTCATATTCTATATGTGACTGGGATTTTGAATTATGAATATTCATATTATATTATCTGCTAATTACAAGCTTGTGCTTAGCATTTGCCAAGTATTAACATAATCCAGTTCTCAATTCTAATAACAAATTCCTTAAACTTTTCAGTTTAGCTAACGTATCATGGCTTTCATGCATCACAAGAACAGCTCTCAAACGAGTTGCTTGTAGAAACAGCCTAACCCATTTTTTATGAGGGTGTCTTGAAGAATTGCTTTTCAATGTGCCTTCTTAACAAACTCATTTTCTGTTTAAAACTTTCTCTTTCCTGTGGCTAACATTCTAAACAAACAATAAAATCGTTTCCCAAAAATTTGGTGTAAATGGCCCCACAATATGAAGACATTTTTTGAACTAACAACAGCGCTTTTTTGTGAGTCTGCAGTAGGGATACTTTCGTCCTCGCCAACTTTAAGGGTGCCTTCTTAAATATCCATTTGAAAGGCTTATATAAAAATTGAAATTAAATTTTATATTTTCTCTCATCGTTTATAAATCTGGAAAATACCTTGCTTTCATTAGAATGTGAAGAACCGAGATTTTTATTTTTAGAATGTTTTTGATACGAATAACTAGAAATTTTAATTCCATTAAAAGTTATTACTGATGTTACTAAATTTAAGCGCTGAGAAACTCTTGTTAACGAAAGAAACTTCACACTTAATGAATCGGAATTTTATTTTTACGCAATAATTAAACAGAAAGACAATTTAAGACATGAAGGCAGGATATAGATCCTAAAAAATTGAGATAAATTCTAACTGATTTAAATTATGAAGCTAATTTACCTGGAATCATGTAGCAACATAAAATCATTAGTTGAAAACAAATATAATTAATCAGAGATGTTTATTGGTCAAGGGTCATATTAATTATACTTACAACAATTTATGCCTTGACTAATAAACATCTTTGATAAGTATAAGTAATATATCTTATTTTTGACATATGTTGCCGAATAATAATAATAAATACTCATGTTTGAAAAACAAATAACGCTAAGCTTGCAATGATTTAAATAAGTTTTTATAATTATTTGAGACATTAGGTGCACAGAGAGAATTGCATATTATTTTGCATTTTAAATGGCAAATATCAAATCTCTGATAGAGGTCTGATATAGATCTAAATAGCTAACCTCTGATCTTTACAGGGAAATTTTATAACATGATTTAGCACTATTGTGTGGAAGGCAAATGTAACAAATCCTAAACTGGAATGTAGAACACAACAAATGAAAAACACAACTATCATTGCATTATTACTGCCGAATAAAATTACTAACATATAATGCCCTTAGGATGCACTAAATTATACATTACAATTCGAAACAATTTATACAGAAATACTTTAGATAACATGTATATGTTTATTTTCAATCAGTCAACTAAAAAGAGGAAGGATTGTTCCAATAAAGGAAAAGAAGAAAATCATCGAAATTGTCTTTACAGTCAATTCAAAATTATTCAAAACTGTCTGTAAACGGGAAACAATAAAATATTTTTTTTTTTTTGTATACTGCATTTCATGAAATAAAAATGTATGGCATGATACTGCTATACAAAATATAAAATTGAAACTAATACATTTGGGGTGAAAGAGAATTTCATGATTTTTAACATATATATATATATATATATAAATTAAAAAATTAAAACATAATAAAAAAATTTCATGAACTTTAACATATATAAAAATTGCATTGATATTGTACTATACATGTATATGAAGGGGAATACATAATGAATACCTTTGGTAAAAAAGAAATGAAACTCAGAATTTCGTAAATTTTGATGCCTACAAATATATAGAAATGCATGCATTCCCTGAAGCTGGTCAAAATTCAAATTTTGCTTTGAACAGTTTTTTATTTCAAAGAACAAATATTTTTTGTGACAGACACTGTTCAAAGAATGTTTTGTCTTTTTGGTACACGCATAGAACATTGCTTCGCCTTCTTTTCTATGATGTTTCTTCCTTGTGCTACAAAATGTACACTGATTGGATCTAAATTTCACTGGTATGTGTTCAGCGTTATTTAGTTTCTTTTCATCTGGCACATGAATTTTGTGGTTTTTTTATGTTAACGAGGGGGCTTGGTCTTTTTTTTGGTTTGGTACGGATCATTCGTTTCCCATTCATGCTTATTTTATTCATATTTCGTCTCAAAATATTCAAAAAATATTTTTAAATAAAACTTTACGCGATTTCTATTTTTAATTACAGCAGAGTATATTTACATTAAATTTAAACCACAGGAAATAATTTATAAAATCACAATACTAGCTTGGGGAGCAATTGTTTTGAGGTCAGAGAAATGTCTCTGGAAAAGAAAGACCTTTTTACTGGGTAGGTGCATGTATTGTTTAGTAATAAAATAACTCTGTGATTTCAAAACCCCTTATCTATATCCGGGTAAAAATAAACATTCCTATTTGGGAAGCAAGGAAACGCCATTGTGAAGAGCAGTGGTTTCAAGGCACGACCACCAAGCCTCTAGAGCATTGTGACACAACACTCTAGTGGTGCAGTGCTCGTGCCCTGAAACCACAAAGCAAATGCCATACATATAGAAGGTTTTTTTAATATATGCAGTTCAATTATTGCTATTTTTTATTGTTTATGATAGAAATCATGATGTGCGTCGAATAACTTTTGAAATTTAAAGTTGTTTATATTAATAAAAGGAAGTTATTTTGTCTCATTGAAAACAAATTTTAAAAGGCATCCGATTTGAAGTACTAAGACCTAAAACATCTATGATTCTGTAGCCATTTTGTGTTATTTAGAGGTCAAAGATCAGTAATCAATTGATTTTCACTCAAAAATTTCGGAAGGAAGAGGAGAAAAAAATTCGAAAATTGGTGGTTTCAAGGCACGACCACCGCGCGTCAAAGGGTTAACTTGATAAATAATGCCATTTACTACAAATTAAGTGACTAACATGATGATAAATAATGCCATCTGCTATAGATTGAACGACTAGCATGATGACAAACAATACTATCTGCTTAAATTAAATTAATAGTATGATTAAGTATATTAATATAATCACTATTATACTTACAAGAAGATTAAATATGTTTACTTTCTATAAATGTATGTACTCACTTTAATTTATGGTAATTATAATATATTTAACACAGAAGCATTTTTTTAAGCACAGATAAGTATAAGCTCATTCATTAGGGAGGGGGGAAAGCAATTTACCTTCAAAAATTTTGTTGCCTTGAAATTGCCTCATGAATTGTGTTTATCCATTTGGTTAACAATTTTTTTTCATTAGGAAAAGAGAAAACCTGTACTTTTGGACCATTTGGATACACAGCACATGTGAACCATATAAAAAATTTGAAAAACAAATAATATTAAAGTGGAATAGTCTTAAAATATCTAAAAATTGAAAGAGAATGTTGACTGTTCTTATGAACGCCTAGTGATGTCAAAACTCCAGAAATCCACCCACCACATTCCTGGGTGGGGAGAGTTAAGTGAAATGCAACTCCCACTAACATTGACGTCACACTTTCTCCTGGGAAACGCGACATGGCCTGGTATGTATCAAGGGGGTGCTGCAGTAACTCACCCATCACACTAGCAGTGACATGAAATGTAATTCCATTTTTCTGTCACTAAAAAGAATGTTTTTCCAGTGTTTCATATATCTTAATGGAAATGGACCGTATGCCACCCTGTTTTAAACTCAGAATTTCTGTAAATAATGTGCAGTAGCTAGACCATGAATAAACAGTTTGGATTCAAATGAAATTGTTGGATTCTGTACTGCTGATGTAAGGTAAATGTTCAAACCATGCATTTCAGATCTATGTCAGTAAGACTGCTCAACAGTATGTGCTTGTTTTAGATATTGGCCAGTATAAACAAGACAAAAAGCTCCATGAATTGATTTGTTATAAAACCTTATCACAGTATTGTCAAACTTGAATTATTTGAGCTATCTTATTTTTAACAAAGATTTATAGAAAGGAGGAAACCATTTTCTTTAATGCTACCTACCAGTACATTGAAATTATGGGTCGGGATGTACACATTAATTGTTGGTAATTCTACTATCAGTCTGGGTTTAAATTAAACTTTTGATATAATTTACATATTGTAAAAACATTTGAAATTGACAATTTATACTTGCAACAAACTACATAAAATATACTTTGAGAGGAAATAAGTATTATTATTATTATTTTAATTTCCTCAAGCGAAAATCGTTTAGTTGAAAAAACAAAGATATCCTAGCTTAACCCTA